ACCGAAGAAGACATTTTGAAAGCCATTCACGACCTTGAGAACGAGCTTGATCACGAAGTTTTAACAAAATGGGCCACGGCTCTCGATTTCGATGATTATGTTTTAAACTGGATGTCAATTTCGACAACCGGTCGCTCGGACGATCCGTCATCGTTCGATATTATTATTCGGGAGACAATTGGTGGTGGGCACCTAGATCAGCACGTGCATCACGCTCATGGCGACTCTACAACGGGTGGCGTGCGCAATTCCAAAGCTGCAGTTGTCGGAGATCCTATGATGGCTGAAATTGACCTCTTTAAAAAGATAACAGAAGAGTCAGGCATGCCGAATGTCACCACCGACACATTTCTCGGTGCGCTGTCGGATATGGTCGATGGTACGAGCCAGGGGAGCAAGAGCCGACCTTGGTCTGCGCGGTCTGGTAGAAGCTTTGATGAGATGTTTTTGACAGATCCGGCTCAGGAGTTCTAGGGCCTAAAGTGAAGAGTTTTGTGTATCTAAACCGTGTAACAGTGAATTAATTAAAGCATTCCTGACAGAACTGAGTGGCACGCCGGACAGGTTTTATAATGCGGAGGATAGCCTTTCCATTAACGTAATATCAAAATTGAGCCGGGAAGCCCATTTGATCACCAAAAATGTTGCCATATTTTGCACGTCATACTCTTGGGGCTCTTCATTGGTGGTCGATGCCAACTACGTCCAGCCATATCCACAGAGCTGTGTAACGACATTGCTCTCCGTGGTGCCCTTGGTGAACACGTGCTGGTCAAGCATGCTGTCCCTGACGTGGCTCCTGGGGGGTTGGGTGTGCGTCGTGCAACTTGCAGCTGATGGATCTTCTTCCGACGAGGTTGATCAGATTAGGGATCCTTTGTTGGACTTGTCAGAAGTTTGTCAGGATGCTCTCCAACATAGTATTGGAGATAGTATGTGTAAAAGTACAAAATTCTCATTGGCGAGATGGCCGAGCGGTCTAAGGCGCTGCACTCAAGTTGCAGTATCGCAAGATGCGTGGGTTCGAATCCC